CTGTAGCTCTATATATACAGCATTAGGCTCTTGGAAGAGGAGACACAATCCCATAAGCTTTGGAATTCGTCCGCCCCCTCTCTCTCTCTTCCAAGGAGTTGTTCTTTTTCTTGTGCTCCACTGATACAAGATCTAGATAGCTGTTTGAGAATACAGTAGAAGATCTTAAGGTATATACGGGATTCCAATCAGATCTATCATCCATCCAAACCGGAGACCAAAACCAGCAAGTGACCATACCACGACGACCAGGACGACGAGTCGAAGAGATCGTCGTCGAGATCACTGCCAGCCACCGCCGCATGCGCCGTCACGCGCCGCCGGAAGATAGCAGTTGTTGGGACTCGCACGTGCGCGTGAGAGCGCGTGGAAGCTCCGTTTTCTGACCGGCCAACGCCGTTGACTTCACCGTGACGTTAGCTTTCTGGATTGGTCAAGTTTGTTCGATTCCGAGAAGATTTGATTTGCGGTCATCTGTTCGGGCCAGCCAGATCTACATAAATTTTAAGCCATAAGTTTTCTACATCAAACCTTTAGATCCGCTGCGCATAGGTTTATGTTGTATGTTTGTCCGTGATTTGTGCATATCGAGATCCTCATAGGTCCCAACAGCTATCATGTTGCCGGGATTAATTGCTCGTTGATTCGACTATCGTATATTTGGTTGGTTCGTATATTCGTTATTTATTTTGCATTTTCGTGAAATTTTGTGGATTATGGAGCTCTCGTTTAATGTATTAATTGAGTCTTGTTGATGCTGTGTTGAATTCGTGTAAATTCGGTGTCTCGTTTTGTCGTTTCGAGCCTTGCCGTCGTCGTTGTGTCATTCGTTTGTTTTTTAGCTAGTATCGTCGTTTTGACTTTCGACCCTTTAGAACTGGCTTTTAATGTTATTCGGGACTTTGTAAATGTGTTATTTTCATAAACGTTTTATATTCTGATCCCGGTTGCCGTTGGTAATGGCATCGTCGAGTTCGGGTTCAATCTGCTGTGATTTCACAAGTTCTGTAAATTCTTAAGCTCTGGTTCTCAAGTTTCAGTAGCAGGTTTTGTTATAAATTAATGTTTTTAAAGTTTGCAATTTATGTCGCACACAGCTCGTGTAGACCAGTGGTTTCTGCGTGCTATTTTGTACGCGATGTCGCGTGTTCGAATCCCGTCCTTGAGTATTCTTTTTGGCCCTATTTTCCCAGCAGAGCGAGCTTCCCAGCCCGCAAGCCCGCATTTCGGCCCGCGCGACCCGAGTTCTCTCCCAGCTGTTGGGCCAGTTCCAGCCCGCGATTCTGCAGCCCTTTGAGCGGCCCAATTCGCGCGTGATATGCCCAAATGCTTTGGCATTTATGGCCCAATTTTAGAATAGCAGTCCAGTTCAGTTTTTTTTAACTCTTTTGTGTTTCGGAATCCGTTATTCGTACCGTTTTCAATTTGAAAAATTATTTTGAAATAAGAAATTGAGAAAATTATTTTAAGTCTCGAGACCCATTGTCTTTTTCTGAGTCTCTTTCCTTGTTAAATTCGAGAGTTCCAAATCCACGAAAAATACGATTAAATCCCTTAATACTCAATTTTTATTAAGTGTGGGTTTTCGAATATTACCGAGAAATG